GATGGGTTTAATAAAAAGGAGGGTTGGGGAAGAAGAGGGAAGAGAGTGACGTACCTTTTCCGGCGAGCAGCGGGCGAGGGGGTCTCAATGGAGGAAGAAGAGAGAAGAAGAAAGAAATGGGGGCGGGGCTGGAGTTTTAAAAACAATGAGCAGCTGATTTCGTTGCAAAAATAGCGACCATTTCAGTCGCAACTTTAAAAAAATAATTTGATCAAAATTTAAATAAATTTGCGTCCGTTTCGGTTGCATATGATCAAATAAAATAGTTTGACTTTTATTTTTTTGACTAAATCCGTCGTAATTTTTTTATCCTGGATTTTTGCGCCAAACGTTGCGACCAATGTTGTCGGAAAAATAGTCGGAAAAATTAAAAAAAGTATAACAAATATTATTTTTGATAATTTCGACCGAATTAGTCGGAAATTTCCAACTAATTTTTCCGGCTGGAAATTCTCAATCGCAAATCAGCTGTTTTTTAGTAGTGACTTATCATATGTGAACACTTTTATTTTTGAAATTTTATAACTGCACATCTACCGGATCACAAAGAACTAATATTTACTCCCATGTAATAGTACTTACAATCGCTATATAAAATTACCTTTCACATTATTGCTTAACTAATTCTACATTCATTCTAACAAGTGGAAGCAATGGGGGTTCAATAGTACTCTTACGATAATTATTTACCTTCGTATTATAGTATGATTAGAACCTTTCACATTATTGCTTAACCAATTCTACATTTATTCTTAAAAGTGGAAACAACGGACGGTTCAATACTCTTATGATAAGTATAAACCTTTGTATTTATGTGATTACGTATAGTGCTTTTTATTATGAACTTGAAGATTCTCTTGTCGGTGAATTTCATATCTTACTTAAGGATGAAAGAAGATTTTTGGAAGCTCAAATCTCACATCCAATAATTATAATTAAATGATGGTGATGCCAATACAAAGTTCTTCCATTTATCTACTATCCAAAGATGCAGTCACAATATTATTCTTGGCCTTCCACAAACAATTCTCCTATGGTTTCTTCTTTGGAATATCAATAAGAAGGTTTTAATAATTCCTCAAACTTGATCTTCATCAAACATATCATCACGCAAGTTGCGGAATTTCGATCTTTCCTTAAAAATGTTGTAACTTCTTCTCTTCGAAACACCATCGTTCCTGTCAAATGGCAGCTACCTCCTGATGATGTTATTAAGCTTATAATGTAGATGGTACTTACGATAACATGATATTTTTAGAAACCATATAGGCAGCTGGATACTTGATTTCTCCAAGCACCTTATCTCTTCTTCGATTATCAGAATTGCTTGCTTTATTATATGGTTTGTAACTGGCTCAAGACTTGAACATGAACGATAAATACTAACTAAATGCGGGTCTTTGCTTTATGAACTTGGAGGACCACTTGTGCAACACATTAACACACACTTCTTAATTTGTCTTCCAAGTCAAAAATACACATTCATTCTACTGCCCTACTACGTTTTATTTCTCCACTGAGGTTTGTATATGACAATTATGTTAATGACCATTCAACTCAGGCACTGAGAAGAAGGATCACATTTTGTAACGATTAGTTAATATATGAAATATATCTTCATGTGATCGCATGTGATTTTTGGACAAAGCCGTGGCTCATCCTACTTTTCTTCAGTGGATAGCTACCAAATAATTGTTCACAAATGAAAAGGTGATCATTTGTATGACAATAAATATCCAACACACGTAGTGAAGAAACCATTATAAAGAAAAATATATGTGGACACAGTTTTTAATATTCACCCAATTACCACCACATTGATATCTATACCACTCATGTCTATGCTAATTTCCTTGATACACCATCTATAGGAGTAGAGAAATTTTCACACCCAATAATTACCCCTCGTACAATTTACAATTTATTACATTGCAGCAGCTTGGCCAGACTTTGATGAACCACCACCAGCAGCCCTATTCCGCCGCCTAGAGCTCCGTCCAGGGCGGTGTTTCCGGTGGCTGTGGCTGCCACCAAACTTCATCTTCTGCCTAAGCCTTCCACTATCCTTAAATAAGTCTCTTTCTGATTGAACAATAACACATTCTGGAGGTGGCACAGGGTACCTAATATTATCATAACAATAAGAATAATACATGTATCTTTCTCTAAACCATTTCATTGATTTTCGCCTTTCGGGTGTCATGATAGAGTAGTTTTGAGAAAGCAGTCTGGCAATTCTATCAGTGCAATTTGTAGATGAAATTTGCTCAATGGGATCTACTATACAGCCTTCAAGAACCAAGTCTTTGAACTCAGTTGCAAAAGGTTCATGTTTGTAGTCAACTTTAGCCTTGCCGCCATTTGTAGCCCAAGAAGATGCATCCCAAATTGTGGCATATAAGGACATTGGTTTTGATGGAAAGTCCCCTCCCATTGCTGGATTACGATTTACTTCTCTTATTGGTGTCTCATCAACGTAGAATCTATACAAAACCAAGGTTTTGGAGGTTAGTTAAAAAGAAACACTAATGAATGAACAAATTTTTAGCTTTGTAATAACTTTTACACTGTCGTAACTTAATTCTTTTTGATATACATGATTTTTATCGACATCTTATGCAACAAAAACTTGTAAGTTACAAAGTATTGGAAGTTGTTACATTACAATCTGCCACTACATTACAATCTTCAACAAGCTAAGGAATCTTTTGTTCGACAACTTTCTAGTAATGTGCAACTGTAAAGGGGACATTCTCCTTTTTTCTTGATTTCTTAAATAATTTATTTTGGCAATTTAAGAGATTAGAGAATCAAGAAAAGCGAATAGAACAAAGTATGCTAGTTGTCAATGTACTTGGCTAAATTGCTCATTTTAATGGTTTTCCAAATCTAGGTTATTGAAAACATCAGTAAGTAGTTGAGTATGGATTTTACTCAATATTCCAAGTAGGAAACATCACGAAAATCTTTTAGAAGAGCGATTTTGATAAATATCTACCACGATAATAGAATGTTTAGCTAGTATTCGGAGGTAGAAGCTAAATAATCTCAATTGTGGAGTGCCAAATGGAGCAGAGATATACAAATCTGTGCCTTTAGTAACATTGTGAATATCCAGGTTTTCAAGAACATTAAAGAAGAATTAGGGCAATACTCATTCTCAACCTTTTAAAACAGCTTTTAAACCTTAAATTAGTCCATAAAAGAATGACAAAACAGTTCAGATTTGGCCAGACTCATCCCACACTGAACCTTCCTTATAGCTAGCCAAGAAACACATTGATATTTCCTATTGTACTCTTAGTTTAGTAGTATATATTTTATGGGTAGAAACAAGATTATCTTTATAAAGCTTTCAGTTGGCTATATCTTGGGCAGTTTATATCATATAAACTTGACGGTAAGTACACTTTGAGGCAACATAACCTAAACACTTGTTATGAGGGCACTTATAAGAATTTTGTGCTAACAACGACATTTATTAAGCGTGATAAGTTCAAAGTATAGACAAACTCTTTTAAGTCTTAACGTATACAATTAGCTAGTGCAAACGTCACTTGGAAAACAGCCCATCACGCCAGTTTTCCAGCTTTAAAGACGTTTCTTAGAAAAGGAAAAAGTAATATTTGCATTGCCGTAAACCGTGCAATTACAATTTTTACCCTTTTAGAAGATTAGTCACTCTCATTAATGAGCTAATCAACAGTTTAATTATTTCCTCCCGTGAACTGGACCATAACTTCTTTGGCATGTTATGACCCCCTCTTTCGACACTAAGGTCACCCATTCCAAATGCAAAAAAAAAAAAAAAAAAAAAAAAAAAAAAAAAAAAAAAAAAAAAAAAAAAAAGTAGTAAAAAGTATGAAAAATAAACTCCAGAGAAAAAATATGTACAAAATTAACTTTCAGTTCCTCCAAGAAAGAGTCTCTATTCTATGCAAGAACACTTGTGAATATATGGCAGTAATTTGTGGAAGTTATAAATCATCACATGTTTTCATATGTTTGTATATATAGCAACTATTAATCATTAAAATAGAAATTCGGAAAAGTTCATAAAAAAACCAACCATAAAGTACCTAAAAGAAAGCTAAGCATGGTCTCATCCAACAAACGCAATAGGTAACCAAAATTATTTAGGTGCTTAACTTTTTCGAAAACGAATAGCTAGCAACCTTTCTTTCTTATTAATTTCTCTCTCCGCGTTTGGCCAAAAGGTAGGCACAATATAATGCCAATTTTTACAGCAACTAATTGCTGCCTAATGCTTTCCATAACTAACAAAATTATTATACTCCTATTATAAAAGGAATAAAATTAAAGAGAAGAAGCAATTAGGAAAAATTTAAATTTCATCTTAAAGTTAACTATCCAAATAAATTGGAAGAAGGCAATTAAAAAATTTAAAAATGATTAAAGTGCTTACATGATATTTTTGGGGGTCCAAAGAATGCTGTAGTGATGGAAGTCGTTGCTAGGATCAAACCACATTCTATACCTCTCTTCTCTCCCACGGCTTACGCTCCCATTTCCATACAAGTTGGTCTGAAATCTCCATGGCTGCCCGTTCACATTCCCCAGAAACTCGATGTCTAACTCGTCATGATTCTTCTCAAATGTGTCCACATTTGACGTCTATATATCAATTAATACAACATCTTTCAACTATAGATGTTTGAAAAGAGAAAAGAAATTTCATGTATTATCACTTATTTTAAATTCCAATGATGCATTAATAGTCAAAGTAGACGCATTTTCATGGAACTCTTCACCGTGCAAAATAACAAATGTGCTTTTTCCTTCAATAAATAATCTTGTTTTGGATTTCAGATCATGTACATGCATATATTTTACATAAAGAAACTATACACATACAACAACATGCATATATTACTTACATAAAATGCGACAACGATGCCGGCAGTATATATGGCTGGCAGCTTAATACTAGCGCTAAAAAATCCATAATTGTAATATTCTGTCGAAATTACACCAGACCCTGAAAAGGTAAAAGACAAACATTAATATTGAAATAGAAAAGTCTAAATCAAATAAAATATACATAAAAATTAAGAAATTAAAATAAATACTTACAATAATAATAATTAAAAAGGTTAATTACCAGAGAAACGATTAAGGAGGAGACGAAAGCTTGTATCATCAGGAGATCGTTCGATATTGAAATCACTAAAAAGAGGGGAATATCCTTCTTCGAATGTGATGGTGGAGAGGTTAAAAGCCTTTGCGGTGGTCGCCGTTGCCGTCTCAGCCGCCGGGAAAATATATAACAACATAAGGAGAGAGAAGGGTGTCAACGATTTTGATAGAGATGAAAGAACTCGATAATCCATATTGCCCTTTTTTTTTGTAATTTTATAGTGAAGTTTTATTTATTTTTATTCTTTATATATATGTTGGGTTCTTCTTCTCCTTTATATAGTTCTCTTCTCTTCTCTTATTTGCGAATTATTTGTTTCATAAAGATTAATATTTGGCAACAGAATATACAGCCATGAAGATTATGAAGCGAGAGAGATTTGGCAGGTTTCAGTTTTGAAGGGTGTACTTACATAATAATCCTCGTGGTTACGGGTTATTAACTGGATTGCCACGAGAGTTTGATTTTTGAAGAAAGGAAAAAACAAACTCCGTTTGAGAATATATTAAACGTTTTGACAAATTGAATATATTTAAAATTATTTTTAGAAAGAATATCTTTAAGAATATTGATATTTTAGAAAAATAATATGACATTTATCAATTTATTGTTCTAATTCTAATTTTCAGTGGCAGGTCAATGAGATTTGTGGCCTAAAGCCAACTTTTATTAAGAATAAATGACACTGTATATTTAACTTTTTTATTGTTTGATAATATTTATTAAGAGTACCTTTTGAGATTGCATTAAAGTTTTAATCATTCTCTTTTTTGAGTTTTCAGTAATCAGATTCATACTTATTTTTTTTGTTGATATATTTAAATTATAATTTAAAAACTAATAGAAAGTTAAAAAAATTAAACTTGATTTTGAAATTTGATAACTTGATGATTGATATCAAATAAACCAATTCATGAGAGAGTTTGACTACTTCAATTTGCTCAGTTCAATTGCATGAAAACATGAAAAAGAATAGAAATGAAGGTGCAATTTTTCCTTCAAATATTATTGTATCCAAACTTGACAACTTTTTATATGAAACATTTCATATTATTTTAAACTATTTTACTTGTCTCTTGGTTATCGACCTGCATCGCTGCTGCTGCTGCTTCTTCTTTCTCTTATTATTTATTTTATATTAGTTTCCTTTCATAGTTTTGAAACTTATATTGAAATTATTAATTTGATTTAGTTTATAGCTCTCTTATGTTATTTTTGATTTACAGTTAGCGCAAGTTAAATTATAAGTTTAATATTTAAATATAGATCAAATTGATGTTTGTTCCGGTAAAATTTATAAAATAAATTTTAATAAATTGTAAAGTTTGTAAGATAAATAAATCTATTGTTAAAATCTAGGTAAATGTTTAAACAAAATTAAAATAAGGCAACTTCGAAACGAAATAATGAGTAGCAGCAATGTTTTCTTTAACGTTTCTATAAGAACCCCAATAAAAGGAGCAAGGTAAACATTGTATGTTAACTTAGTGTCGCTTTTAATGTCAACTGCTGTCGAGGACTTAGTATATATCCGAATCTGCTTGCATAAAGTTTTAGGTTCGCCACTACTTGCAGACGAAGAAAAAGTAAATAATTTTACTTTTGAAATGGAAGTTGAAATGATTTCATGAAGAAAGAACTTTGTCAAGTTTATATAGGTTAAAGACAAATTTGTATTAGGATTGGATAACGTATCATACACTTCATTATAGAATATTTTTGGATTCTTCATGCAATTTCGACTACTGCAAATTTCTTTTCTTCGTGATTTCTGTTTACCCTTAAAATAGATAATAATTAAATTTATACACGGTTTAAAGATATGTGGATTGATACAACACAAATAATCAAGAACGTTAGATAAATGAGCTAAAGACACAATGAATAATCAAACCAGTCGTAAAGCTATGGCCTAACTTGAACTTGGATTGGACAATAGTTTCTGCCCTCGGTTGGGTCTTGGGTTCGAAGCCAATCAAGAACAAAGAACAGAGAAATAATTTTATATTGTCTTGGTATGCGTGTTACAATATACCCTATCAAAGAAAATACTTCCCCTTTATATAGTAGGAGAGTTTCACTCCTAGTACAATACTAAAAAAGGTAAAAATCATCTTTTCTTGCCAATTACTGATCTACTGCCGACAGGGAGCGAGATCTGAGCCGTGATATCCGGTGGGGTGCGGATATCACGACCCTCTGTTAGTCGTGTGCAACCGCTGCCATGCTTTCCGAGGTCTCGGAGCTCGTTCCGGATTTTCGGGGAAGTGTTGTCTTATCAAGTCCGATGGCGAACACTCCGTTCGGGCCTTAGTACAAGAAGTCCCCGGCTTCGATTCCGATCCCATGCAGTCATATTTTTGCTTCGTTCGACCCACCGGGAAATAAGGGTATATGTTACCCCCGGTTTCACCCGTATACAGATAGTCCATTCATTTCCCAAAGAGTAGGTTTGCCGAAACGATGGGAGACGATAGATGAACCCCTGTTCCTTCCTTCGCACGTTACAACCGAGATGGCGGATAAGCCAAAACATCCCATCAGTCGTGTCATTCTGACTTCAGACACGTGTCGTTCATCGGCTGGTTGCCTTCAAATGCGAAACATCACGTATTCCCCCCTATGAAAGCTCCGCCCCCTTCACTTCCTTCACTTTCTGATCCTAGCTTTTACCTTCGAACTCTACAAAGGCTTTTGACTTTCTCAAATCTTCGTACCTTGTTTCTTGAACCTTCGTATTTCATCTTCAACCTTCAAACCTTTATACATTTTCTTGGATTTTCATCCTAGAATATCATATCTTCACTTCTAAACTTCAAATCTTCATACACCTTCTCCAAATCTTCATACATTTCCCATATTTACGATGGCCAAGACTTCCAACTCTATACCATAGCAAACGGCCCCTTTATCTTCTCACCCGGCCACAGATGTCGAGGCAGATGCTCTCAAGGCACTCCCCGAGCCTCCTATGAAAAGCTTCATACCCGGGGGCTGCTCCATCAGGGATGACTTCAAGGTTGAGAAGGCCTCCGTCAAACAAGACCGGGATGAAGGAGCATGGAGATATATATGCTCTATTATTGAAGATACCCTTCCCATAGTCTGAGAGGACTGTAGATGGGAAGGCAAAGATGTAGTTGTCCCCGGGCCTGAGGACGACATTACCACTTACGTGGAGGGGTATGTAAGTGTTTACACTTACCCCTTTACATTGGGCTCGGTTGACCCGATGATCCTAGACTTTTGCAAGAGGTACGAAGTGTGCCTCGAGAAAATCCACCTGTCCTTCTGAAGGATCGTGGTCCTCTTATGCCACTTTGTGAAAAACACCGAATCTTCTCGGTTCCCCCTCGACCACCTACTCCGTCTGTACAGTCCCCAAATATTTTGAGGGGGACTAATCAAGCTCGCTCGCCGAGCTAGCAAGGCCCCTTTTTCGAGCATCGATGATGATCAAGGCCGAGGCTGGCAGGGGCATTTTGTTCGGGTGAAAACTGAAGACTTGGTCCCTCCCGAGTTCTTGCCATTCTCCGAAAAATGCAACGTATCTCATAAGTATAGTCTTTCCCTAAGTGTCAATTTCCCTTTATTTCTTCTCTCATCGGTAATTTTGTGGTCATGCAGCTGTTGCTCGGGTTCCTAATGCGGTCCCTCAGCTCAAGGAGTGGATCGAAGGGATCTGGCAGTAGATGTCATACTACGAGCGCACGTGGAGCAAACTTTCGAAGGAAAAATGGGAGGCTTGTTCTTATGGTAAGGCTTTCTCCTGGATAGTTATTACTATGCCCCAAGCTTACATAAGTTGATCTTCTCTTTTCCCTTATAGATTTGCCTAAGACCACCGAGCTTAGGCCGTTGGACGGTGACGAGGACACGTCCTTACCCATCGAACCCTCCGTCTCGAGACAACCCCGAGTTACTGCAGAGGAGAAGAAGAGGAAAAGAAAATTCCCGGGTTCCGAGGGGCCCGAGATGAAGATAAAAAAGAGGGCGACCACCCGGGCTCACAAGCCCAAGAAGAATACTGAGTCCCGGGTACTAGACTCTGACTTTCTTTACCGGCTCAGGGATGAGCCTGAAGAAGATGACATTTTTATCGCTCATGGATCGACCCCTGCCAGGGAGCAGGCGGCGACCGAGGGAAGGGGCCACGAGGCCGATCCCCTTCTGACTCGAGAGGCCAAGGTGGAGACGGGGGTTGTGACCTCCCGAGAAGATGTTCCAATTCTGAAGGAGGCGACTGCTGTGATAGACATCATTAAGACGCCCTCTAATAAAGAGTCCATACTCGAAGAGGCCCAAATAGGCAAGGAAAAATCAAGTGAAGGAGCTTAGGGTGCGGAGGATCCTCTCCACTTCTTCTTTGATGACATGCACATGTCTACATTTCAAGATTTCTCTAGGTTGGGCCACCCGGAGATACCGAAGAAGGACGTGCCTTCGGGAGCTGACAGGTCGAGCACGAGCCCAAGATTGGTGGAGAAATTCCCTGCGCCGAGTGTGGACCCCGAGCATAAGAGGACGGTTATTCTCACGGTCTCGGAGGATGCACGGGTCCTATCCGCTTTGGTAGGCGTAGCCAGCTACCTCCGATGCTTGGTGACCGAGGAGGACCAGACAAAGATGAACGAGGTGCACACGTCGAGTCTCTTCAACGAGGTGCAGCAGGTGCTGAACCGGGTAAGGCTCTATTACCTTCAAATTCCCCTTATGAATCAATTTTCCTTTGATGCTTCTTACTTAATTCCATTATTTTATAGGCTTCAGTGCTTCACCACGAGAGTTTCCTCCGATACCACTTGGAAACCAGTTGGCTCGAGTTTGAGCTCAAGGAGCAGGTCTGCAATATGGGCATGTATAGGCTTCTGAGTGAGAAACAGGATGAGGCCCTTAAGAATCTCCCGATTCTCCAAGCCGAGCTGAAAAAACCTCGGAAGGAAGCCTCGACCCTGAAATGGGAACACAACTTTGCAAGTCCAATAGAAGATGGATCCGATCGACCAGTTGTGGGTCGAGATGGATGAAGTCAAGGCCCAGACCGACGTGTAGAAGGGCAGGATGGACTGACTAGCCTCGGAGAAGGAGTCTGCAAAAGCGGAGCCGGCATCGGTGGAGAACCAACTCCGGGTGGCGAAAGACAAAGCTGACAAATGGTCTCAGCTAAATATCGGTCTTCGAGCACAGCTGAGCTTGGCTGTCATAGATCGGGATTCCCTCGGTAGGGAATATGAGGCATTAAATTCCAAGTTGGACATAACTTCCGCTGATGCTGAAAAAATGGTGGCCCAATACAAGGCCAA